ACGTAGGGCAGAACACACGTAGGGCAGAACACACGTAGGGCAGAACACACGTAGGGCAGAACACACGTAGGGCAGAACACACGGTTCCCTTGCTGTGCTGCATTCCTGCTCTCCCAAAGAAACACGGAGAGCACAAGACCCTGTTGCAGCCTGTTCCTGCTGCAACACCTCTCCACTTCAGTGCCCACTGAGCTGAGCTGTGCTCAGTCATTGCCTTGCTGGTGAACCCTGTATTTCTGAAATAGGTTTGCACTTTACTGGTAAATGCTATCCCCATGAGTGCTGCCACTGTCCAGAAAGAAGAAATAACAGATGCTGCTGTTGTCAGAGGGTGGTGAGTCCAGACAAGCACTCTGGAGGGGGCACACAGAAGCACGTCCAGCTGGCAGCACCGCAGGACTGCTTCACAGTTCCCCAATGCTTTAGAAGCACAGAAGGGTTACTTTCACCCAAAGACCTGATTGAAGAGGGTGCACAACAGGTCAGAATAATCCCTGTTTAATGTTTTGTTTGCTCTACAAAATATTTACCCTTTTAAAAACTCAACGCTTTTTTTTTTTCCTAATTATTATTCAAAAAGTAAAAGAAGCTTTAAGAAAGGTCTTCTTGCAGCTCCGAAGTTATCAAGCAATTCCCATAATTCATCAAGGAGGCTAAAATAGGCAAAACAATAGCACCTCCTATTTTTTTTTTTTCCTCCATTCACACAAACTTGTTTGAACAAGCAATAGCTTCATCAAGGGATTACTGGTATGGTCAGGGTAGACAAGTTAAAAGAAAAACCTGAACTGGAGCAGCAATCTCCAGCACACAGGCTGCACCCGTCATCAGCAAGCTGTTTGTGTGCACCTGGAAATCAAGTGTTAGGGAATGGATTTGATTTGTAGGAAAAGTCTGACCAATACACTGGAGAGAAACCGATAAAAGGTGGTTAATAGCAATATCCATGCAAATACAACCAAAAATTAAACTACAGTTTGCCTGAATACAGTTTAATTGAACTCTGACAGCCAAACACAACTGTCAGCAAACAATCTGTGCATTGCAGGGGAGTTGGACCAGATGGCTTTTGAAGCTCCCTTCCAACTCAAATGATTCTGTGATTCCATGACCAGGAATTTTCTTGCGTGCTCTCCTTCTGTGCATTCTTTGCTCTTACTGGCTCCATTTTGGCACGCTGCAGCCTCATCCAACACTTTCATATTTGAAAGCACAGAACACACTTGTAGACTGCAACGTGATAAATCTCAAAAGAAATCTGTATCTCACATTACTGGGCTCTTAATCCTTTTAGGTGTGTGCAAAAAAGTCAGTGCTGACACATTAAAACTGCCAGGTGCTTGCAGTGGAAGCTGCAGGGTTTCACAAGGGGTCCGGCCACACCTGTTTGTAGAAATTCTCACACTCCTGAGCGGGACTTTTGCCACCAGGATGAGTCACTGAGAGCAAAGGCACCATTTGCAGAGGCAGTAGCTGGTGGCTACACACGTCTGCACTGCTCACTCTGGGAAAGAGGTGCACCTGGAGCCCACGGCACGGCACGGCACGGCACTGCAGCCCCTCCAATAACAGCCACCTGAAACATGGCTGCACTTGAAAGCAGTTTTCATGCTTTCAAAGACGAATAGCTTGCAATGGAACCGATCTCTCACCGGTACCTATAAAAAAGGTGAGTTAGGAGAGGCACAGTGTGGTTTCTTTACCTCGTGGCAGCATTACCAGCTACTGATAAGAGCTGTTCTCCTGCTGGCTCTGCTAGCACACCAGGCATTTGGCAGCTCAGGCACATTCCTTACTCTCTGTTTTCTGATAGTTCTGTTTGTCACTGGGGCAGCTCTCATGGCCAGCACAGCACAGCACAGCGATTCACCTTGGGTGGAATCCTGCAGACCACCACAAGGCCAACGGGATGGGCAAAACTGCAATTCTGAATCTGTTTATTTTAAATTTACCCAGTCTGCCAGCCCGCTGCAAGTAATTTCAAGGCTTCAGTGTGAATTTCTGACTCCTTTTCTACATGTAAGGCACTGGCATTACATCAACCTTCAAACATATCTTGTGTGTAAACCAATTAATTCTTGCAGCAATGCATTACTTGGTAACCACAAATCTTATGCTCTTTTTATTATTTTTTCGCCTGATCTCAGCCATGACACATAAAACTGCAAAACTTGCTACTGTCTTCTTCTCTGCTAGCATCTCCCCATTGCAAAGGCATTGATAAATACTTGGTTGATGAATTTGCAGTTCAGAGGTGTGTGACTCAACGTCAAGCTGAGTATCTGTACCCAGGGCCAAGCTCATCCTGAGTTCCCAAGCCAGAAGAAACTGGGAACGTTGTAAAAGCACCTTGCTGAGCCCTGAGGGTAAGGAGCGGCTTATATTGCTCTGTGACTAACGTAACACTCAGCACAGACTTGTTTGGCAGAATACGCCCCAGATCTTACAAGACCAGACCCTATGTTGAATCCTACTGCATTGAAAATTCAGCAACAGGAATTTTCCTCACTGAAAAAAAAGAAGCCTCTGTCTTTAGGTTTGGTAACTGATACTGAAATTTAGCATTAACAATATCAGGCTTAACAACAACCAAAACCAATTCCAGAGACCACGGTCCTGGTTCTGCAAGCACAACACACATAGGATTCAGAGCATTTTCTGCACGTGTGCAAAATTAAGCCTGTTTTTTTTCCATCATTTTTTGGGACACATCATTCAGGTCAGCACCAATCCAAAACAAATCTATGCCATGCGTAAGATGCAAGCACATAGAACATACTGCAATTACTTATATAAATGTTACGGTCAGACCTCTTCATGTACATTATACATAAAATACGTATATGTACTTCAATCTCATTAACAAGGGTCTTTAGTTCCACAAAAAGATGTTGGAATAAGGTGAAAAGGAAGTTTCATTGTAACTTCCTTGCCAAAAAAGAGGTAAGAACATTATCTTACAGAGAGTCGAAACTATGTTGATGGAAGACTGTTAACCTCTTCATCAAGCCTGTTCTAAGGGACCACTGAAAAGTAAAGAAAGAAGCATCTAGCAAACTACGTACTTGTTTGCATTACCTAACAAAAGCCAAAGAATGCTAAGTAAAAGGCAAGTATTTATTCTCTAGTGAAAGCCAGACTAACAGGGAAGTCACACCACTGTAACAGTGCTGGAACGAAGTCAGGAAGAAGAACAGTGAGGAAGCAACATGCTCTGTCATTAAATTTTCATGTCTGCCTCTTAAAAGCAGTACAACTCCTCGTAGTGGAGCATTGCTGGCAAAACGGACCCTCAAAAATGCAACACAGTGACAATACTTCGGAGTCCTAACACGCACTCTCCCTTGGTAAAGCACTGCATTGCTCTAATTATATTGCAATAATAGGTATTCTCGTATTACTGCAGCAGTAAGTGGACATGTCCCAGCAGCAGCTAATCAGAGGGTACAAACGAAACCAAAGGTGAAATGAAGAACTAAGAATTGTGCAAAGCAACAAACAAATATGGGAAGAACACAAGTTTGGTCCTTCATTCATTGGTCCTGGGCAGCAGATGCTAAGCACAGCTCTCACCACTGGGTAGGGTCCCTAATTCCCAAAAGCCCGATTCTCAGCTGGCACACGTAGCTTCGTGTAGCCTTCAAGTTGCCAGCTGCTGTTTGCTTACTGTATACACTGGACTCTCATCCTGCTGCAATCCGATCAGGATGTCCTAGCAATAAAGCCAGGGCTGGACTTGAACACGAACAGCACTCCAGAAGCAATGCTCAGTGGCATCAATAATGAGACCAAGAGGTCAACAGAACCACCGGCGAGCCTAACCACCTACCCGTACCCGTCGGAGGCGTAGTCCCCCCCGTAGGTCTTCTGGTAATAGTAGGTCTTGTGAGTGTGGGTGCCGCCGCCGCCGCCGCCCACCACATGGGAGCTCATCTCGTAGCGCAGGTCAGTGCCCGAATCGGCCCGCGCCATGCGGCCCAGCGTGTTGATCCGCGGGTGCGAGCCGCCGTTCATGCTCATGGCGGCGGGACGGAGAGAGGGCGAAGCGGGCAGCGGAGGGACAGCCGACCCACAGCCGGAGGGGAGAGCGGCATTCACCGCCCGGAGAGCCCGAGCTCAGGGGGCGGCAGGGCGGGCGGGGGCCGGGATGTGAGGGAGGGCGGCTGGGCGAAGCAGCGGGTCTTGGGCGGCGGAGGCTGCAGGCGGTGGTGGCGGCGGCTGCAGCAAGAGCAAAGGTCCGGTCCGGTCCGGTCCGGTCCTGTCCCGTCCCGTCCCCTCCCCGCCGGCACAGGAAAGGCGAAGCCACACCTTTCGACGGCGGTTTTAAGCGGCGGTGCGGGGCGTGGAGCCGCCTCGCCTTCAGCCCGGCCCGGCGCTTTCCCAGCCCGCCCTCCGCACCGGCGTGGCCCCGGCCGGGCTCGCTGACTGCTTTGATTCCTTCACGAGTTCTCGGTGCGGACGTTGTGGCCTCATTAAAAACTTCCGATCGAATTTAGGCGAAATCTACCGCTTTCCTCATGGTACTGCGTGGCCTCCAGAGCGCTGTGGTGACGATAGCTGTAGGTGCACCAACGATTCCGAATACCGTGGTACAACTCCGGAAGGCAACTTGAACTCAACAAAGACAGCACCTGTTAAGTCAGCGTGGTTATACCATGGACAAGCGTGCTCTGCACACAGCAGCCATCTCCCCGCTGATGTGCCCGTTGGAAAGCAGTGTAAATGGTTCCACCAGTGTCCATAGACACACTGGAATCACAGAATCACAGAGTTGTAGGTGTTGGAAGGGACCTCTGGAAATCATCGAGTCCAACCTCCTGCTAAAGCAGGTTGCACAGGAAAGTATCCTGGCAGGTTTTGAATCTCTCCATTGAAGGAGACTCCGCAGCCTCTCTGGGCAGCCTGCTCCAGTGCTCTGTCACCCCCAAAGTAAAGAAGTTTTTCTTCACATTCAGATGGAACTTCCGCTATTCCAGTTTCTGCCCACTGTTCCTTGCTTTATTGCTGCACACCACTGAAAAGAGCCTGGTCTCATCCATTTGGCTCCTGCGCTTCAGATGTTTATAAACAGTGTTGAGATCCCCACTCGGTCTTCACTCCTCCAGGCAGAACAGCCCCAGGTCTCTCAGCCTTTCCTCACAGTGGAGATGCTTCAGACCCCTCATCATCTTGGTGGCCCTAAATGGACTCTCTTTAGAAGTTCCCCACCTTTCTTGGACAGAGGAGCCCTAAACTGGACAGGGTACTCCAGATGTGATCTCACCAGAGGTCCGTCAGGCAGAAGCACTGCCAATATTCCAAGCCCAGTCCATTTCTAAAAAGGCTCTGAAACCATCACATCCGTGGATGGCTTTCTTGATGCCTGAAAGTTTAGTTTTAAAAAGTGAAAAATGTCAGATGCCAGAGACAAAATTGTTCTAACACATTTGGGTGTGTGCGGAGTGTCAGCAAAGGCAATTTGCTGTAGGATGCCCAGCAGCTCCTTCATTCTCAGCCACTGACTGCTGCTTTGTCTCAAGGACCAACTTGGAACCGTTTCTTACCTGTGTTTAACTGCACTTCATCAGCTGTTCTGGCCACTTGACCTTGATGTTAGAAAGCTGAGGAAAGATGGTCAAATTTTAAGAAGTATCTGTCACTCATGGATAAATCTGCCAAGGCATTCATCTCAAAGTGCCGTACAGCCAGCCAGCTATGTAAGTCATCCACATCTGTAAATTCTTGGGCCCTTTTCTATCTTTCCTGCGCCAATTATTTTCTTGGTATTTTAGATCTGAGTGATAAACCACATCCCAACTCAAACACTTGATGTGTTTGACACATTTGAACATTTCATGTGTTTGACACATCTGATTCAAAAAACAACTGAAAGAGAGCAATCCTCTGCCGTGCCGCTGTAAATGACAGAAGAACCTAACCTGCTGCTGCAGGTGGTGGTGGATGCAGCACGGTGGAAGCTAAGAGCTGTTCTGAGCAAATATGATGTTGCCTGGGGAGTGCTACAAAGTAGCAAAATGCAAGTTGGCCATTAGTTGTGAAGTCACACAGTGACTTCCATATTGGAATATGTATTCTGTACTAATGAACCATTACGTAGCAGTGCATATATCGATTGATTGATACAGGTTTGTGTATTCATGTGGATTTGGGGTGCTTTTTTGAACAAATCTGCACGAGTTGATGATTTGACGTTAGACTCCAAGTCATCAGGGAGCAGAATACAAAAACAGTAAGGCTGAGTAAGAACGACAGATACAATCCAGGTTTTCACTGCGCACATATAGAGATCACTGCATTCGTGACACCTGCATATTTAAAAGTCAGATTTTTCAAGAGCTGATGCATTTATAAATACACAAATGGTAAGCATTTTTTTTCAGCAGGTCCCTTTGAAAGTTGTCTGTTTATATATATGTGTATTTAGAAATCTGAAAGTATTACAGTGATTTGGCATTCTTGCTGAGTTTTAGCACCACCTCCAATCAGCCCCACCTTTTTCAGCTTGGTCTAGTGTGCCAGCTCAGTGAGACACTCCATTATTTGTGATGGAGACAGCATGTATATGATACACCCAGAGGCCCAAATGAGTCATTGTTACCTGGACATGTTGAAAAATGTGCTTAAGTAGCAAATGGATTCTGTTGGTCCTTCTTGCACAATTAGCCCCTCTGGAATTCAGAGGAGAGAATAATACTGAACTGACACTGAGAACAGCTCAGTGCTCCCATGCGAGCTACTTTCATGCATAGGCAGTAGAAATAAGTAAATACAGATATTTTTATTTTGCTGGAACAAAGTCAATTTTTGTAGGTGCTACCTGGAGGTGGAATTGGTGGAATTGGTTATCTTGAAACAATAACAAGTGACCTGGGCATAACTTAAAACTCTACTTACTGTGGGAAAACATTGGAGTCATAATTTGAAGATACTGCTTTGACCTTGTTTCACTGCTCCTAGAATGTGGAGT